GGTATGTATGGAAATATTATATTGGGAGGAAGGCAGAGATTTCTATCTCTCAAAGTCCTGAGAATGGAGTTGATTGCCTGAATGTTGACGCTGTACATTTTCTGTGTGAGTAAACACTATATAAATGGATTTTAATAAATTTCTGCTTTAAAAAAAAAAGTTGGTTTTTTTCCACCCAACAGAGATGAAAATACTAAGAAGCTGTACACTCTTAAATAAAGTACATTAATGGCGAGCTCTGGTGGCCGAGTGGCAAGAAGCTGCACTGCAATCCCAGACATGAGCAGTTCATCCACCAGATGCTGTGCTGGAGGAGGGACAATCTCCAGTCAGATCCAATTTGACGGTGTACAAACACACACACACAAATGTATATATAAATAAAAGTGTGCAATATCTATCTATGTACCTTGCAACAAAATTTTATTATTATTTAACTTTGTTGTTGGGTTTTGGGGTTCTCCCCTCTTCTCTCTAAAGCTAGGAATTTTTAAATAAATTCAAAATACCAACTTGATATTACTTGCAATATTATACCAAGTCAAAGACCTTTAAATTTCTCCTCCAGGGCTTACATAACTAAGCCAGACTTAAAAGCAATTATTAAACTCATGTTCTTGTGATCAGAATTCATGATGCCTGATTTATACTCTTGAAGTTACCTGCCCTTATTTTAAGGAAACCCACTTAGAACAAATGGAACTTTCACACTGCTCAAGCAGCAGCACAGGTCACCGTTAGTTACGTGAGTTCTTACCCCAATAGTGAAAACGAAAGGCTTTATAAGAGTCCTAAAAGGATAGGGAGAAGGATAGAAGACTGTTTCTTGTACAGGAGGAATCAAAGAACTTCTCTTGTAGGCTTCACCACTTATCCCCGTGTCTGATCTTCGAGGTTCAACCTTCCTGGGTGCTTTTCTGAATCCACATTTTTGTTGAATAAAAAGGTTAAACCTATGGAAGAAAATAAGAGATTAGAAACAGTGCTGTGTCCTGCAAGCTTCAATCTCTGTAAGCCTCACCACTATGTTTCTTCTTGCTCTGTGAACCTAAAAGAGCCAAGACTCCTAGGCCCAAGTAGGAGCCAAAGACGAACATTTGAGAGAGATAACTACAGCAACTGTAGAGTGTGCTGCTTCTCTGCACCCATCAACAAAATAAGTCTTCACTTTTGTTATGTCACCAAACCCAGTGCCACTGAGTCGATTCTGACTCAGAGCAACTCCTTCCCCATTCCCAATATTTACAGGAGACTGCCCATCTTTCTGCTGCACAGCAGGTGTAGATTTAACACCGAATGCAGGATGTTACCAGGGCTCTGTTTCAGTAAGCAGTAATCATTATAAATTGAGCGATTCCTCCCACCTCATCTCCCATTATTCCACAACCAGTTTTGGGGCTAGACACCAAATCTATTTGTCAGAGGCTTTATTGGGAGTCCTTACACAGATGCATGACCCCAGCTACCCTGCCCTTGTTTATCTCACTTGTCTAGTTTAAAAGAAGCTCTCCCCACTTTTTTCAAAAAAGTAAAAAAAGAAGCCCACTTAAACCAGGGGGACTTTTAACACTGTACAAGCAGCAAGTCATTACAGTCCTTGGGAGTTCTTATTCAGATATACTCAAAGGTTTCCAGAGTTCTTTGATACTCCCACTCAAAATCAACCCACAAGTGAATTATGGTTTAGTAAGTAAGTAGAGTAGAAGCACGAGACAAACAGAAAGATAATAGCATTTTAATATTCCCAGCCTGGAGGACTTCCACTTCTTTCCTCATCAACACAGGGGACTCTCAGTGGAGATAAGAGACAAAGTTCCCTGGCGTAGCAGGTGGTTGTTCTTGGGGCTTGGAATATCTGCGATGCGTTTAAGGCCCAGCAAGGATCCCAGTGTCAGGTGTTCATAGGGGATGCAGCCAAACCCAAACTTTTAAAAATTTTTCTTGTAACCTAACTCCCTAGTTAGATCATGTAGAGACCATGTAGAGGCCCCTTCATCTTTATTCTCATGAAATGTAGTCTTCTTCCATTATAATCAAAGTTCCTCGACAACAGACAGACATGGGGAGAGGTCGCCTCACTTTTGAAACTTAGTCCCCCAAAAAAGGAAACTCCTCCTCTATAAACAGCATCATTTCTGACTTCTTTGTGTCTGTGTTTTATTGTTTTCAGTCAATAACATTAAAAATAAAATCAACAGTTTTCTCCTTTATTCTTCATGTTGTGTATTCAAAATCAACCCACGGCAGACCCTCCAGCAGGCTTTCAGAGGCTATATTCTGTAAAGGAGGACACTTCATCCTTTTCCTATGGAGTGGATTTCCTATAGTGGATTTGAACCTGGTACCTTCAGGATGACAATGCCACTCCTTAGCTCTAGGCCACAAGAACATAGGCAATTAAAAATCAAGTCCAGGCAAAAATGTCTAGTCCTTTTTCTCCTGAGTTAAAGTAAGAGTTTACTTAACTTCAGATATTTTGTTTTAATATGCTACATGCTCCTCCCATATTAATCTTCTACTTTCCTCACATTCCTTTTTCTTTTTTTTAAATTTATTTTTATTAGTTGTGTGTACCATCAAATCAGATCTGACTGGTACAGGAGGAGATTGTTTCTCCTTCTCCAGCAAAGCATCTGGTGGATTACATTCCTTTTTCTTATTTAACTATTTCTCAAATGTTCTCTTCTTGGTTTTAAGAACTTCATGTTGTCTTATTCTTTTATACTTTTCTGTCTTATGTAGATCTTCCAATGAAGTCAGAGTAGGCACCTCACATTCAAGCAGAAAGCTAAAATGTAGCAAATAGGCCAATGTGGCTGGGTGCAGTCAAACCCTTGAAAAGATGCTTAAAACTAACACAGTATGTGTAAAAATGAAAATATTTTTGAAGGGAAAAGTGAACTGAGGTGGGTAGGGAGGAACATGTGCCAACAATGAATGAATGAATGGAAATCCAATTTTTCTTTAAACTTTCATTAAAGTATCAACAAAATTTTTAAAAGCCCCCAACACTGTATCCTCCTTTTTTTCTTCTTCACCTTTTACCCATGTTTAGAAAGAGCAATTTGTCCAACATGCAAATTTTTCACTAGACCAGTGGAGACCAAGAAGTTTCATGTTTTTTACCACCACAAGACCAGTTTTTTTTCACCTGATTTTGTTGGTAGACACTATCGTAATGTCTTCATTATCACTATGGAGCCAGACTCTTCTTTTTTCAAAGATTTTTGCTTTTGGATTTCTACTGTTGGGAAGAACTCCATTCAGAGACTGAGCAGAGTGAAAAGGATGACCTGAGAAAGCCTTGGTATTTGACTAGTCAGACTGCCAGTCTGGTTGCTGACTGCCCGACACCTGAGTACTCTAGATTTTGCATCTGCCCAGGAAGCCCCTTCTGTCGGATATGATCGGGACCCCAGTGCCCTGTCATGTAGCCTCCTCCCACCAACCACACTGTACCATTCTGATGAATTTTGGGCTTCTCCACCAGGTACTAGGTACTAATGAAATGAGTTATAAGGGAATATTACATCCTTCGATCTTTGATTTAAAGATAACTATGGCAGCAAAAAGGAATCTAGATAGAACTAGAGATCTAACTGTGATAAGCAATTAATGTTACATGGTGTTCCAGCACTAAAATAGGAGTTTCTCACCTTATTTTGGGTAAGAAAGGAAGCCAACTATTCACTTAAATGAACGAAAGAAACAGATTTGAACTAAGGTAGAAGTGATGAAAGAGGGATAAAAGAAGAAACAACAAACTCCTCAGGATGAGAGAAAACGAGTGCTTCCGTTGATCACCCTCACCTCTGCTCACAGCAGCTCCCTAGGCTGTGCTGGTTATGCATCTCACTACTCCAGTAGGTACCAGTCCCTTGAAGCTTTGCTGGGTAGTCAGACATACATGGCTTTCCATCATTATCTATTATCACATAGGAACCCCAAAACCCCCAAACTCAGTACCACGAGTCTATTCCAACTAACAGGCATGCTACAGGACAGAGGAGAACTGCCCTACTGGGGTTCCAAGGTTTTAAATCTTATGAAGAGAGCTCTGGTATCCTAAGGCAAGGAGCTGTGCTGCAAACATAAAGGCAGGCAGTTTGAATGCACCAGCTATTCAACCCCCTCCCGTGCAATTTACAGCCTCTGAAAACCTGAAGAGTTGGTTCTGACTCCACAGCATGTAACAACAAATCTTTCAAGACTAGAGTGCCCGATCTTTCTCCTGCAGAGCAGCTGGTGAGTTCAATCACCAACCTCATGGTTAGCAGCTGAGTCCTAACTGCTGCACCAAGGATCCTTATAACCATAAGGCCTTGCCAATTAAAAACCCTTCATTTCCAATCTTTTGATCACACCTCTTTCTGACTACAATCTCCTATCTTGTCCTTTTAAAAATTTGACAGGATTGCATGCAGTTGTTCATACACATTGTGTTTCATTTCTTCTCCATTTTAAAACCATTAATCCTATGATTATAATTTCTTTGACCTCAATAAACGGTACACACTTTGACCCAGCTATTTTCTGCTATCTAGTAATTTCCCTTCCTTCCTTTCCATGAGCAGCCTAACACCCACAGGCCATCGCAGAAATTACTGTGCCAATGCCTTCAACCTCTTTGTTCTCTGGTCCTTTTATCACTCCAATCCAGCAAAATTCCAAATGTTTGAAATCCACCAGCCTCTGTCCCCACACCTACACTGATTGATGCTATTACACAACTACATGGAACTTTCAACTTTCACTGAATTTGCAGGCTTCCTTCTGTGCTCCCCTAGAACGCTCTCTACCATAACTCAAAGGCTAATTTGATTCTTCAATACTCTGAAGCCCTCAATTCTACCTATTCTTCCTTGAACAATTTCTTTGGAATGATCTTGCCATCTATTTCAGATCAGAAAGGGAATGGAAATTAACAAGCAGGAACTTCATTAAATTCTGGTTTTATTAACATCCTTCTCTGTATTGCAATGAAATCTGCTGTTAGGACCTCTTGAAAGTGGTAAAGAGCAAGGATGTCAGTTTGGAGACTAAGGTACACCTGATCCAAGTCATGGTATTTTCAATTGTTTCTCATGCATCTGAAATTTAGATAATGAACTGATGCCTTTGAATTGGGTGTTAAGAAGAGTATGAATATTCAAAGGACTGTCAAAAGAACAAAGTGATCTTGGAGGAAGTGCAACCATGGTGCTCCTTAGAGGCAAAGATGGTGAAACTCTGTCTCACATACTTTGGGCATGTCAGAAGGGAAGAAGATATAATGACAGGGAAAGGAGAGCATGAGCATGAGTGAGGAAAATCCTCAACAGATGGATAGATGCAGGTATGTAACAAGCATAAGAGACTGTGATGATGGTGCAGGATAGGGAAAGATTTTCAAGTTTATAAAACTGCTATGAACTGCAGCCCATGCCATGCCAGAAAAGGCCTTTCCACTGAAAGCCAATCACTCTTCACTGACACTTATTCTTTCTTCTGAATATTCAACCTGTGTTCCCGCCTCCAGGAGAAATAACTATTTGGACTGAAAGCTGGAGAATGGAAGTAGGACTGGAGATACCATACTAAGCTAAAGAGCAGAGCTGCCAATATGGAATCAGAGCTCATCAAACAAGTAGACTCCACTTGCCAACAGGCCTGCAGTTTATGTTAACAGAGGCCCTGCTGGGAAATACATCTGCCACACTACTGAAGGGTGCTACCAACATGTAACAGGTGCAGGAGTTGGGCTTTGGGCTTTTAGAATACATATGTGTGTAATTCCATTTTCAAGACATTCCATCCCTTACTATTACAAAACTTTTTTTAAAAAAAAAATCACATTGTCTTCAGCATTTAGTTCAAAAGGCTTACCACCTTAAACAAACAAAAACCAACTCAACTCCCTTGCTAAACTCATCAGCGGAAAATTCTATCCAAGGACTCTGCTATTTCACGACAA